CAAAGCACAAACACCAATCCGAAAACCCCCGTACCTTTCCGCTCCCGGTTTCTCCCACGATCACCACCACCGCGTTTTCGCGAATGACGTTGAGGAGCTCGTCCCGGACGGAAAAGACCGGGAGGTATTCCCGCTGCTCCCGGATGGTCTTGGTCTTGGCAAACACCGAGACCGCGTTCTCCCTGCCGTCGCCGCTTCCGCCGTCCTTCTTGACGTGCCTTGCAAAGCCCGAGGATTTCTTGTAGTCGATCTCTCCGTTCTCGTCCTCGTCGTTGCCAGCACTGGCTTCGCCGGTCCCGGCACCCCCGCCGGCGTTGGCATCGCCGGTTTCTTTGGMTTTGGCCACGCCGACCGCGTCTCCCATCCTCGTCCCCCCGAGCTCCCAGAATTTCTGGCGCATGGCGTTCTTGTCCTTGTTGGCCCGCAGGTACCGGAGGGTCGCCGATCCGGCCCGGCTCATCCTGGCAAAGTCGGAGGTCGCGTCCCTGACGGTCGGGACCGCCTCCCGGACGGTGGAAAAGGAGACCCTCTCGTCGGACAGAAAGGGCGGCTTGACCTGGTGGACCAGGAGCGTGACCCGGGAGAGGTCGGTCTCGGCCTCCGTGTCGAGGTCGATCGAGGCCCGGACCGCGGCCCCGCTGCTGAGGAGGCGGCTCTCCTCCCAGGCCTCCTGGTCCTTCTCCAGGGCGGATTTCTTGGCGTTGAATCGCTCCGACCGCTGGGGTTGAAGSAGTGCCGTGCCCCCGCGGGCTCCCTGCCGGAGGCGCTGCTTTTGCATCTCTTCCTCCCGGGCCCTCGTCTTGGAGTTTTCGAACAAGAAGCGGCCCATGTCCTTGCCACCGTTCGCTGCGGCATCCACCAGGTAGCGGCCGTCTTCGTCGTCGTCGTAGAATTGTCGATCAAAGTCGCTGTCGCTGTCGTCGTCGTCGTCGTCGATGGTGTCCGGGGGGGGATCCCCCCCGTCGCTTCCGCCGCCGCGGGGGGCCCGCAGGGGGGTCTCGGTGTCCCAGTCSGAGCGACCCCGGTAGTGTCTGTCGCTGCCCTGGYTCCCGGGAGCCCGGCCGCGTCCCGGGCGAAACGACGAGAAGGAWCGGGAGAAAGGGGTGGAAGCGTGGACGCCRTCGCGGCGGTTCCTCCCCGCGGCCAGGGAGGCAGACCCCCCCGTCGATCCCGAGGCGTGGGTGGAGGGCGTCACGGGRACGCGGGGGGCGGGGGGAGGCATGCTTCCGCCGCGGCCGGTGTGCGGATTGGAACCGTCGCCGCGGTTCCGGTACCCGCGGCCGTCCCCCCCGTCCTTGGTGCCGAAACCACGGGAGCGGCTCCGGTCGCCGCGGTAGCGATCCGCCTCCGTGCCAAAACGTGGGTCCGAGCGGGTGTCCTTCCGGCCGCGGCCCTGTTCTCGTTCCCGTTCTCGTTCTCGTTCTCGTCCTCTGCCTCTGCCTCGGTCCCTGTCGTGCTCCCCGTCGCGGCCCCGATCCCGGGATCGTTCCCGATCTCGCCCCCGATCTCGTTCCATATCGGACCGAAACCTCCCGGACCGTCCGAAATCGTCTCCTTCGCTGTCGTTGTCGCTGTCGCTGTGGGACCGCTCCCCGGGCCTCCGCCGCCTCCGCTTCGAGCGGTGGAGGTCTCGGTCTCGGTCTCTGTCTCGGTCTCGGTCTCGTTCTCGTTCTCGTTCTCTGTCTCGGTCCTCCTCCCTCCGCTTCCTCCTCCGCCGGTCCCAGTCCGAGTCGTGGTCGTGGTCGGAGTCGCGGTATCGTTCTCGTTCTCGTTCCCGCTCGTGCCCGCGGTCCCCGCCGGAGCCATGGCCATAGCCGCCTCGGTCCCGGTGAAAGGCAGAACGCGCCTGCCGCCGGGCCCGCTCCAGAGCGTCGCGGTTCAGCCCGCCCGGGTGGGAGGGGGTCTCGCTCGCTCTCCGGTACCGCCTCAGAGGCTTGYCCTTKSCCTTKCYSYTGCTGYTGYTGYTGYTGYTGKTKTTGSTKYTGYTGCTGCTGCTGCCACCGCGGCTCGGGGATTCCACCCGAGATTCCCGCTCCATGCGCTTGGATGCTGCGAGGCGGTCCAGGCCCAGAACGGACGTTCCGCTGCTGCTGCTTCCGCCGCCGCCATTCGTTCTCCGCTGCAATCCACCGCCGGTCGAGGGCAAGAGCGACGTCAGTCGGGAGGTGCTGGGGGGAGGAGAAGAAGGCATGGTTGGTCCACTGCTGTTGTTGCAGTTGTGTTGTGTTGTGTTGTGTTGTGTTGTGTTGTGT